GGTGGAACCTGGTGAACTCAAAGGAGATGGCTGGGTTACTTTTGAAAATGTCGACCAGTTTACATTGTCTGGTGGTGGAATTTTCGATGGCCAAGGAAAAATTGCATGGGAAAAAAATAATTGTAACAAGGATCCAAAATGTGACATATTCCCCATGGTAAATCCCTCACCATCTTGTGAAGAGAACTTTTTTCTTTTTTCTCAAGTTATTAGTTTTATGAAGGCTACCTGTAGGTAAGTGACAAAGCTTGATTCGTGTGTGTTCTTGTTTGCTTCAAATATTGATCAGAATTTCAGGTTTAATTTCATCACCAATGGAATAGTCCAAGATATAACCTCCCAAGATAGCAAGAATTTTCATGTCAATGTCCTGGGATGCAAGAACCTGACCTTTCAACATTTTACAATCAGTGCGCCTGGCGATAGTCTAAACACTGATGGAATCCACATCGGACGATCAAATGGAGTCAACATCATCGATTCGAAAATCGCCACGGGTGATGATTGTATCTCTCTTGGAGATGGCAGCCAACAAATAAATGTTGAAAGAGTAACATGTGGACCTGGTCATGGTATTAGTGTAGGAAGTTTGGGGAGGTACGAAAACGAAGAACCCGTTTCTGGAGTGTTTGTTAAGAACTGCACCCTCTCCAATACTTCAAATGGTGTGAGAATTAAATCTTGGCCTGGATTACAAGGTGGCTCTGCATCAACAATGCATTTTGAAGATATTATCATGAATAATGTCTCGAACCCCGTTCTCATAGATCAGATGTACTGCCCATGGAATCAGTGCACTAAAGAGGTACTCTCAAACAAGAAAAAGGAAGAAGAAATATCTGTGTTGTGCAATATCGGTACCATACACACACACGCACGCTTATGTTGCCATTTGAAGTGGAGATTACTGAAATCTTTTTGTGATTTTGATATGTTCTTTACAGGCTCCATCAAAAGTAAAGATAAGCGATGTTAGTTTCAAAAAAATAAGGGGCACTTCCGCCACTCCAATTGCTGTGCAGCTGTTATGTAGCACTGGCATCCCTTGCGAGAAGGTTGAGCTTGCTGACATTGACCTCACCTACAGTGGAACTCAAGGCCCTGCAAAATCCGAGTGTGCTAATGTCAAGCCCACAATTATAGGAACATTCAACCCACCAGGATGTTGATTTCTTGATAATCAAAAGTTTTTTTAATAGGCTCGCTTCATCTTTTGAAGCTTTGATTGATATGAACCCCGCAGGCTTGTAAGTGTGCCCGGAGGTGCTTATTCTTGTTTGGCTTCTGTTTTCTTATCAGAAAATACTTCTTTCAACTTCAGAGTGTCAGTACAATTTTCGGTATTATACTTCCTATATTATAAAATACTGTGATTTTTCTTATATTGTATAGAATCTTGCATGCAGTCACAAAAGTATGACCGTAACACAAACTATACCATTGGCAGAACCCATAATACATACCACAGTTGTGTCCTTCTTTATCATGCACGGATGATGACATCTGTAGATTCTCAAGCCTATTTTGTCAAACACGAAGCAGTGATATGCCATATTGTTTGCTAGACTCACTGGGACTGGATATGCTTCCCATTATTTGGAAATGGAGTGCTTCCCATTATAATTAAAAGTCCACCCTGAAAAAATTGCAATTCCTAGAACCGTAAGGATAGAAACTGTACCTCGTAAAAATGCTAATGTTCTCTCACTGCTTTCAGCATATGATAGGCCAATGATTGGATATCAAAAGTCCAAACAAAGATGCTCTGAAGCAATACCAAACTCCTGATGGAACACACATGAAACTATTGAAAAGAAATTTGGAAACAGGATGATGTGCAATAGACCAAATTAGGTAAAAACCTTGAATAACACAGCAGGTTCAAATTTGCAATGCAAGCATAACATTGTTGCACTGATATATTAACTTCAAAGACAAACTTTTGACTATAGCCCCAACATCTTACAAACTGAAGCAGACATAAACCCCAACAACATCTTACATACTGAAGCAGCACATTGAAATCAATCAAATTTAAACTTATAGTAGAGAACAGTAAAACTCGGAAAAAATTTATGACTACAAGTAGAACTAAGAGATGCAGAGAAAAATCGCATGCATGACCAATTTATCTGTTAAAGAAGAAACAAGTCAAGTAACTATTGATTTCTGGCTTGTGTTTGAGATTGTCGAGTGCCAACAGTTTTTATATTGCTCTTTGTTCTCTGCACGTAATTGCACGGAGACAGTCAGGGACGAATTCCTCGCAATCAGAGAAAGAATTGAAAAGGAAGTGTAGTTGATTCAGTCTCATCCAATTTTTTTACACAGTGACCGTCCTTTTGAATGTAATATCCAACAATTACAATATTCTGTACTCCACAGCCTCTTTGCCTTCTCTTAATCTTCCACTCAAATTTTCACTGCACTCATTGATATCTAATTCTTGCAAAGAGGGAAGGTGGGTATCTCTTGAGATTGAGATTCAGATAGAGACCTTAATTCTGGGCAAGAACAGATTTTTAATCTCTGAAGAGAATGCATCCCCTTACCAGGAACAGGCAGAGACACCAAAAAAGTTGATAGTTAAACCAGAAATCTCTGAAAAAGAACAACTTCATATACATTGGAAGCTTGTCACATCCATACCTTACAGAGAAAACTATCTGCTTCACATCTTGAACGACTCTATCATGTGACTCATTAACTCGAGCATGCTTACTGTATAATCAGAAGCTCTCACATGTTAGGGACCTCATTACACCACTATGCTTTGGCAAACTAGAATGATAAATTCATACAGCAGAAAGGATTTTGGAAAACTAGAAAACTATAATGCTTTCCTAACTTCAGTAAATTTCAACATATTTTTTATCAGTAGCATATGCTTAACCAGCTCAAAGATCATTATACCTGTACTTTGAAATTTTAAAAATGGGAATTGAAGAAAATAATATTTGGGAAAAATAATTTCAGTATATCTTTAATTACACAACTACATATATATATATATATATATATATACACACACACACACACACACACACACACATAGAGAGTGTTAAGATAGGAAAGAATTCCTAAAGAATAGGAAGATAGAATAGGATCCCTATAGAATAGGAAAGAATATACAAAATATTTCCTATCTAATTATATCCCGATATTTCCTACACTCCCCCTCAAGCTGGTGAATATAGGTCTTCCATTCCCAGCTTGCATATATTTTCCCGAAATGCATGACTGTTTAATCCTTTTGTTAGAACATTCGCCAACCGAAGATCCGTAGGAACGTATGGAGTACAAATTAATTCACTCGTCGAGCTTTTCCTTAATAAAATGTCCGTACACCTCTACATGTTTAGTTCGGTCATGCTGCACTCGGATTATGCGCTATACCGATGGCAGATTTATTATCACGAGTAGAGCTTCTTTGGACCACACCATTCAACCTTCATATCTTCCAAGATGATTTTTACCCACAATAGTTCACATATACCCGCTGCCATTGCTCTAAATTCAGCCTCTCGCACTTGATCGTGCAACCACATCCTGTTTTTTACTCCTCCAGGATATCAAGTTTCCTCCAACAAAAGTATAATATCCTATAGTTGATCTTCTCGTCAACCGGAGAACCCGCAAAGTCAGCATCCGTGTAAACTCGCTAGATCAATATTCTGTTTTTTCTTAAACAGAATTCCTTTGCCTAGGTGAGCTTTCAAATAACGAATAACTCTGTAAACAGACTTGTAGATGAATTTCTCTTGGATCATGCATAAACCGACTAATAACACTCACGGAATAAGCTATGTTCGGTCTAGTATGAGCAAGATAGATGAGTTTTCCTACGAGACATTGATACCTTTCCTTCTCCACCTTCTTATCACCTAAAGCTTCTCCTAATCGATGATTTTGTTCGATTGGAGTTGCTGCAGGTTTGCTTGCTGTCATCCATGTTTCCATCGGTAAATCGAAACATATTTTTGCTGTGAGATGAATATTCCTTGCTTAGACCGAGCCACCTCTATGCCAAGAAAATATTTCAATCTCCCAAGGTCTTTAATTTCAAACTCTTGGTTCAAACACTACTTCAACACTTCTTTCTCTCGTTTTATCGTTCTCGGTTACAATGCGTAGACAATCGAATCGTGACTCCCTTGAAGCGAGTGTGTTTGATAAATAAAGTGTGGTCTCCTTGGCTTTGTTTGTATCCATTCGCAAGCATCACATGAGTAAACCGACCAAACCAAGCACGGGGTGATTGTTTAAGGCCATACAATGCCTTCTTGAGTTTACAAACTTGATTCCCATCACCGCCACCGAAACCAGGTGGAATGCTCATGTAAATATCTTCCTCCAAGTTACCATGTAAAAATGCATTCTTCACATCATATTGTTGTAACTCCCACTCAACGTGGACCGCCAATGACAACAAAATTCGCATCTGTATTCATCTTTGCTATCGGAGCAAACGTCTCTTGATAATTGACCCCATATGTTTGAGTATAACCCTTGGCAACCAGTCCGGCCTTGTATCGTTCTAAAGACCCATCCGCCTTAAGTTTCACCGCAAACACTCACTTACAACCGACCGTTTTCTTCCTCGAGGCAGCGACACCAATTCCCGAGTACCATTCTTTTCCAGTGCTTCCATCTCTACAGATCATAGCAAGTCTCCATTCTTCTTTAGATAAAGCTTCGGACAAAGAGTTAGGAATAGCAATTCAATTTAATGTGGACAGATAGCTACGGTGATTTTGAGAAAAATTAGTGAAAGACACAAAATTGGCCAGTGGGTATAAAGGTGTTTTTGTGCGATTGTGGGTTCCTTTCCTTAAGGCTATTGGTTTGTCAAGATCGGTCTCAAGTTGTGTAAAATCGGATGAGGGAGAAAAAATGTTAGAAATTGTTACCTCGGGTTCGTAACTCGATACAAGTGATTGATCTTGCTACGGAGCAAGAATGGCATCTTTTTTCCTTGTATACACCTTATCAAACCGAAACTAATCAATCAATCTACCACTATCCTCTATTTCTTCTACGGGCAAGAGAATGGCGAATTGGTAAACATGATCATCAAGAGGCTGTTCATGAGGAGCTACATCTCTTGATGAAGAAATATCAAGAGACAGATCAATATCGGAATTGACAATTGTAGGAAGCTCCTCCGAATGTAAGGTGTAGAAAAGTATGGTTTATTTTCAACAAAAGTGACATCGACTCGAGACATAGAGCTTCCGAGTAGGTGAATGATAACACTTGTATCCTTTTTTAGTGATCGAATACCCCCAAAAAATGCATTTAAGGGCTCTAGGATCTAACTTTCCCCAAGTGGTATTATGGACATGAACAAAGGATGTACACCTAAAAATATGAAGGGTAAGGCTAAAGGAAAACCGAACATCGGGGAAGAATTGAGACAAAATTTCTAGTGGACTTTTGAAATCTAAGACTTTAGAGGGCATCCTATTTATGACATAGGCCGACGTTAAAACCGCCTCCCCTAAAAAGTTTTAGGAACATTCCGTTGGAACAAATATGCCCTAGTACATTCAAGAAGATGACGGTTTTTACGTTTAGCGACTCCGTTTTGTTGTGGAGTGATGACACAGGATGACTCGTGAATAATACCCTCTTTTTGAAAATAGGAAGACAAAGTCCGATTAAAGTAATCACGAGCATTATATGATCGGATACGTTTGATCGGTACCCCAAATTGATTTTTTATCATAGAGATAAAGGTGGGAACAATATGACTAACATCGGACTTTTGTTTAAAAAGGTAAACCCGGGACGTTCTAGTGCAATCATCAATAAAAGCAACGAACCATTTTGATCCAATAATGTTTTGGATGGAAGAAGGGCCCCAAATGTCACTATGAATTAAAGAAAAAGAAAAACTTGATTTTTTATTGCTTATTGGAAACGGTACACATGTGTATTTGGCAAACTCACAAATGTCACACCGAAAAGCTTTAACATCGACTCCCTTAAACAAGTCCGAGAACATTATTTTTAAGGTAAAAAACAACAAATGACCTAGACGCCTATGATGCAACCAAATAGTATCTTTATTTGATTGTGAAAAACATGAGACTGGAGAAGATAAATTAATCGGGCTCTATTGACTTGGTGTACTCGAAGTAGTAAAGGCCATTGTGCTCTTTAGCAAGTCCAATCTTCTTCCCCAACTCCCGATCCTAAAATTCACAACAACCAACAAAAAAAGTAATATGACAATTCAAGTCTTGGATAAGTTTATAGACAGAAATAAGATTAGTGGATAATCGAGGAACATGAAGAACATTTTTTAGCATAATGTTTTGACCAATTTGAATACCTCCAATACCGGCTATCGTGGTTGTTGTACCATCGGCTACGGTTATTTTTCGGCTATCGGGACAAGGCGTATAGGTTTTGAAAAAGCTGGATGTGTGGGTCATATGGTCCGTAGCAGCTCGAGTCTAAAATCCATGCATTCCGAAACTCATTATCCAAAACATTTAATCCAAAGGAGATGGGAGTTTTACCCGAGAGCGTTAATGAACACAAACCTTGAGATTGGTTAGGAGGTGTAGCAGGTTTTTCCACGGATCCTAGCAAGCTCTTGAGTTTTTCAAGATCTTCCATACCGAGTCCTCCTAATCCCTTCGGTGTGTTTTGTGTTGTCACATAGGCTTGCCTCTATGATTGTCTTTGCTGCCCACCTCTTTGACCCCATTCTCGGTTGTGAGTTGACGGCTTGCCATATAATATCCAGCACTCCTCCTTGGTATGCCAGGGTTTTTGGACAGAATTTACTTCCTCTAAGATGGAAGTTTCGGTTGTAGACATAGTGAAGGGACAAAAGGTTTAGAAACAAAAAACTATGAAAAATTACAGCAATTAAGGCTGTGGAAAAAACTGAAGAAAATTGACAGCAATGAAGGCTGTACAGTGGCAGATTTCAGCAAAGAAATCTAATTATATCCCGATATTTCCTACAGGAATGTATCATCTGTAAAACGAAAACCAAAAGTAATCTGATTGAAGATTGCCACTGGCCTGGAAAATGCCATAAAAATCCAAGTTATCAAAATATGGTCTAATAAAATAAAGCTGCACAGAAATTCTTGACAACAAAGAGAAGCTTTCTCTTAATTATCAAGTTTACAAAAGCATGAAAGAGAAGGTTTGTCGTAAAAGAAGATAATTTCTGTAAGAAATTGAAAGTGTACCTAATTCAATATACGTCAGGTGCTATTGGGATTCCAAAACCACTTCTTATATCGCTAGGGAAAATACGTGGGGTAACGGGGAGATCCTAATATCAACAAAACTCATACGCTTGAAGATTGTTGCAAACAGTCAAGGGCCACTTCATCGCAATCCTTTAGTCCGTGAACACTAAATTGCTCAGAGAACTGGAGGAAGAAAAAGAGAAAGTAAAACACATATAGCAGCAAGGACATTGAAAACAACTTGAACATTCTCTGGATCTATTTTTAGGGGGAAAAAACTTAAAAAGAAATTCTTGTCAAGCACATATTTCAAGACTAGACATATCCACCCTACGCTATCAAAGTTTGCACAAATATCAAAGAGAAGGGTTGCTGTGAAAGCACCTTTCTACTCAAAGAAAATGATGCCCTGAGGGCTGAGATGGTATAAACATGATAAATTATCATAAGAAGCCTTGAGAGAGAGAGAGAGAGAGAGAGAGAGATAGAGAGAGGAATCGTAGTTTGTTTTAACTGCATGAAGAGTAACTCAATTTTTGCTCCTTTTGAATGTAGAAATAATCAATTACAATAGTTGGAATGTGGTTGATGTTAGGAAATAAAACTCACATTAATTCTTGAAGACTATTACAGACAGTCCAGGACGATTCAATCACAAATCTTTAGTCCATCAACACTAAGTTGCCTGTAGAACTGGTGAAAGAAAAATAGATTGTTAAACACATGCAACAAGAAGGCCACTGAAAAGAACTACACTTGATTAATTCTCATACTTTGTTTCATGTGGGTGTACGGTATCCATTTCATCTACTATGCAGCGGAGCGTTCACAGAAGATTCTACATACCATCTGAGGCAGAATCGAAGCATCACTATCAACCTTCAGTTGAAGAAAGTTCACACATCAGTCAACATCAGAACACAAATATGCACTTCAGTAAATGTTTTATGGGTACCAAATACATAATCATCTCTAAGATCAATAGCTGTATTTTGGAATTCTGCAAACAGGTATGTAAGTAATCTCTAAAATGCAATCTAATCTAATTGAAAGTATCACAACTTGCTCTGAAACGGAAGGGATCATGTTACAGAAACATCGATAATGTTTTCTGCTCCATCAAACACTATGCGAATGAAAATAAGACTATTAGAGTGCCCATTAAGAAGAACATACATTCCATCCCTATTGGTTTGTCAGTAAATGTTTAGATTTTACTATTTCTTCACTACCAATATAAAAAATAAAACAACAAAAAAGTCATGTTTTACATTTCTCTTCTCAGTTGATTTGTTTGATTTTCCTACACTTTCTGGGCAACCAATCAAGTAGCTCGAGGGATAAAATTATCTAAAAAAAGAAAAAAGAAAAAAGAGCAGCCTTAAACTTGTTTAGTCAGCGGAACATTAAATTATTTCACTTGACTTAGAGTTATTTTTTCTATACTTTCTCGGCAAGTACCAATATTGTAGAGAGATAATTCTCCAAAAAGGAGGAAAAAAAAAGGAAGAAAATTGAAGTAGAGGGATGAGAAATAAAAGCGATTTTACACGAATGGCTAAACTGATGGAAATTAATTACTGCAAAATAATTAAAAAAATATAATAAGAATGATATGATTTTAAAGAAACAAAATTAAGTAAGAGATTCAATTAAGAACCTTCGTTGTAATAATCAAATATTGAGTAACTCAATTTCCGTAGATAGATGCAGAGCCTTCAATCATGAGCAACCCCTAATTGATAGAGAAGAGAGATTTTGCACCACATAAATAAAGAGAGTGTGGAATCAAATAATAATAAAAAAAAAAAAATTAAGGAATAGCTCAAATACCTCATATTCTATGGCCAGCTCAAATTTTCCTCCTTTACATAGCGACCGTCTTTTTGAATGTAATATGTATCAATTACAATATTTGGAATGTGTTTGATGTTAGGCCAGTACTCCACAGCCTCCTTCCCTTCTCTTAATCTTCCACTCAACTCTTCACCGCACCCTTTGATAATTAATTCTTGCAAAGAGGGAAGGTTCGGTATCCTTTGAGATTGAGATTCAGATAGAGACCTCAATTCTTTGCAATTCCTAGTCCATCATATCTTAAGAGAATGCATCCCCTGATCAGGTAGATGCAGAGCCTTCAATCTTGGGCAATTCAAAATTGATAGCTGTTGAAGAGAAGAGAGATTTTGCAGCACATCTTTTGGAAGATAATCCATATCCTCAATACCATAGATACTGAGTTTCTTCAATTTGGTGAGAGGACGGATAAATGATGACGATGAAGAAGAAGAAGAAGAAGAAGAAGAGATTGATGATGTTGATTTCCAACCTCTCATCTTCATTGTCTGCTGTAATGGCACTGTGCTGGTCCATTCCAAACATAGCTCATCCTCGAGAGTTGGAAATAGTGGCATTGAAGACAATTTAGGCATCTAGCTATTATCAAGGAAGAAAGATGTGGAAAAGGAAGCATCATCAAATCTTCTTCTGTTATGGCTGTTGACTCATCACTATCATCAGTAATCTCATCACTCTTCTTCCACCATCCCTTCAGATGAGTACATGACTCGGTACTAAGTTTCTTTAGGGATGGGAAAAACGTTGACACTCCTCTTCTTCCAACCCCCTCACTATCTATGTACTCCAGATTAAGTAAACTTTCAATATGCAATTCTTCAAGAGAAGGGATTCCATCTAAGGGAGGCATATGCTCAAGTCTTCCACAATCTCTTAGACGAATCTTAACAAGATTTTTGAGATGTGAAAGCCAACTAGGAAACCTCATACCTCCATAAAACTCATTACCAATTCATGACGATTCAAGTTTGGCTGAAGGCTTTGCAACATTTTATCATATAAATCACTATCTGAATCACTATCTAAAATATCCCACCATTTAGTCAATGACTGAATTTATCGTTTCTCTATCAATTTAGCTCCCTCAAATTCTAATAGACAAGAATTCCTCTCATATCCCTTAACTCTTATTTCTAGGCTCCCTCTCAATTCATTTAACCTACCCAACTCATCTAATCCTCCAACTATCTTGGATTCAGGACTAGTTTTAGCAACCACAAAACATGACTATGTTTGGAGACAAGTTAATTTCCCAATCCCACAAGGAATATACTCCAAATTGTAACATAAATCTCTATCAAGAGAGCAACCAACATCTAGATGCCTAAGATTAATCAGCTTATTGATATCTCTAGGTGGCGCTTTAAGTTTCTGACAACTATTAAGCTTGAGCACTTGCAAATTTATTAGATTGGTAATAGAATTAGGAAGTGTCTCCATCTCATTATTCGAAAGATCAAGATATTTAAGGTGCTTGAACTTTTCAATGGAAGGAGACACTTCATTAATTCCTAAACCATGCAAATCAGAGACACGTATACACCTAAAGTCTAGACAAATTGACTCCCATGCCCCCTCACTCCATTTCCCACCTAGTATCATAAGTGTCCTCAAGCGTTTTGCACTAAGCGAGGGGATTGGAATTTGTTGGGACAAATCCGATTCCAAGTGAAATGAAACATGTCGAGTCCATTCACTTGTCCTATTTTCTCTCCTCATCTCCACTTTGATGCTCTCAAAACCAGCAACTTTGGTTGCAAGTTCATGCATAAAATCATGCATTTTGCAACTTTTTGGGTTGCCTAAATCATCCTTTTCCACTTTGTCCAAGAACGACCTCCACACTAAATCCTCAAAGCACCTAAGACCAGCAATTTCAAGACTCCCACCACCTGAATTTGAAGAGCTAACAAACCCTTGTGCAATCCAAAATTGAATCAATGATTTTACATCTATCCAATGACCTTTTGGAAATAAGCTACAATATGCAAAACAATGCTTCATATGTGATGGAAGAGCATCATAGCTTAACTTAAGGGTCTGTATGATGTTAGCATCTCTAATCCTATCTGGAAGTTCATTTACAATAAAGGACAACCACTTGGCTCTATCTTTCAAAGACATGAGCCTCGCAATGGACTTTATGACCAAAGGAACTCCACAACACCTCTCTACAATCTCTTTTAATGTTTTCATCTACATGATCCGACTCATGACCTTGAGTAAATACCATTCTTCTAAATAGATCCCATGAGTCATCTACTGATAGACCTTCTAAAACATGTGGTGCTATTGTGCTTGTGAAATTTGCAATTCTATCAGAACGTGTAGTTACTACTACCTTACTTCCTATAGCATCATGTGGTAACGACTTTTTCAAACTATCCCACTTTTCACCATCATCATGACCATCCCACACATCATCTAATACGAGAAGATGCTTATTTTTTTCAATTTTTTTTTTTTTTTTTTTTTTTTGAAGCTCGTTTTTCAGATTCTCTAACTGATCAGAATCTCCCCTAACACCAGCAGCCTCTAAGTTACTATCTTTTTTAGGTATAGCCTGTAAGATATCTTTGAGAATCTTTTTCGCATCTAAACCACCTGAGACACTAACCCAGAGTTTCAGACCAAAGTGCTCCTTAACTTGCTCATCATTGAAAGCATGTTGAGCGAGTGTGGTCTTCCCCAATCCACCTATTCCAACTATTGAGATGACAGAAACATTCTGTTCATTGTTGGAATTCAGCAGAAAAGTTTTAAGTGCCACTTTATCACCTTCTCTCCCAACTATAACTTCATGTTCAGAGGAGTTAGTTTGCTCCCTGACCGTGGTCAAAGGAGCTTTCTCCTCATGATGAACCTCAAAGTTAAATCGTTTACTATCAGCATCGATGTCAGCTAGTCTCTCCCTAAGTGCTTTCACTTCATGACCCATCCCCAAACCATAAACAAATTGGTTTGATTTTGAGAAGAAAACACGTACCTTCCCCGATACTTTGTTCCCATACACCAATTGTTTCCGCTGAACATCTATCGAGAAGTCATCCAACAAATCTTCTGCATCGTATACTGCTCCTTGCAGCTTCCTCAGCCAGTCTTTGAATTGATTGCTTTGCTTTTGTCCCTGCTCTGCAGCGTCATCCAGCACAGCCTTGATTCTGGTAACTGTGCCCTCGAGCTTGCGTAGCTGATCTTTGACACCACACCAGAGAGCAACCTCCTGAGCAGCTAGGGAGCCCAGTTTCTTTATTATTTCCTCCGCAACATTGAAAAGGAGCACACCTTCAGCCATTGTTTCTTGGTGGGTGCAAAAATAGTGGGTGGAGGTAAACACACTAAAAGGGAAGATAAAAGAAAAGCGTGACAAGAAGGTGTTTGATGCGTTTGCTTGCTTTGAATGGTGGTGATTGGTTTGAATGCTAGAAGAAGGTATTTGTTGCTGTGAAGAGAATGAGAAAAACCAGATTTCGAAATCCAAAATCTTCCAAACACTCAAAGCTATTAGAGATTCTGCATTTACTCTCACGATTTCGAAATCCTTTAACTGGTCTGCACTCAAGGTATTTCTTTTCTTTGCCTTAGAAAATAAATCACACCAAAATCTTTATTCTTTTCTTTCTTCTAAAGATCACAACAGCACGAACTTCATATGATTACTTAAGGTACCTATGATCAGAACAAGTCTTTCACGACAGTATTCACAAATAAGGTTTAAGGCCCAGCTGGCATGGAAAGGAATTAGGATCTTAATTACGTCATAGTTGAGCCCAACACAATCCATTAACAGCCCAGCACAATTGTGGTTCTAATTTTAATCCATTTCCTATTTTGGGCCTTGGCTTTCGAGTTTGGGCCTGTTGCTTGTAAACTCTCAAGGAGAAAAACCCCAGTACTGTCAAGCATAAGATAAAAGGCCGAAAAAATTATTAAGTCGTCACTTAATGTCAAAATTTATAAAATTACAAATACCTATTAGTTTGTAATCATTTACAAATACAAATAGTTTCTTTATAATTTAAATAATAGTTTTTTTTTCTCTAAGAATTTTTTTCAATAGAAATTTTGTTTAATTTTTTTTTAAATATCATAATTATAGATCAATTAACTAAATTACGAACGAGATAAGATAATTTTGCTTTTGAAAGTAACAATACATTTTTTTAGTCAACATGTAATTGTACAATAATATTAGTAACTAGTAGAATTAGGAGATAATTATTTTAAGTTATTGAGTTATAAAAATAATTAGTTAAGTTATTGCAATATAATTAAAAAAAATATTTAATAATTTGTAATTTAAAAGCACTATAATTGATAACTATATGTAGAAAGCCTTGTATTATCCTTGTTCCTTAACGGCAAGAAATTGCCTCTTTTTTATTGTTTACTAAGTATATATCCATTTATACTACGATATAATCTGGTATAATGAAAAATAACGGAATAGAATAACTGGTTCATTACATTATTTTATATGGCTGCAAAACATTAGTAATGGGATGGAGGCCTTGACAAAGTTTCGTTTAGTCCCTGTAATTTTTGAAAAAATTATTTCAATCTATATTGTTTTATCTTTATTCACAAATTGGTCATTATCTATTTGGTTTGTTGGTCCTGGTGCTTTAGAAAAAAATATAGTTTAGTCCTTATGATCAAAACTTTTTACAATCAAATCCCTACAGCTTAGTCCAATTAGCCTCCCATTATACATCCAGCCCAACACTCACCCACTCAAAATTAGACCATACCTGCCACCTCAAGCCATTTCGGCCCACTAACCCCACTCAATCAACAACAGCCACCACATCAAATTCCAGCCCACACCAGACCACTTCTACAACTCTAACTCCACAGCCCATCAGCCCAGCCCATTCCCACAAATCCACAACCATCCTACCCAGTCATTCCTTCTCTAGACAGACACGTTGCTTATCATCTTCTTCTCCCTCTAGTTCCAGTCGCACTCCAATCTCAATGTCAATTCGCACCACATCCCTCTCACAGAGGACCTAACCCACTCGAATCACAATACTCGAAAAGCTCATCCTATGACCACAAGAGCCATTACTGAGAAACTAAAACCCAAACAACCACTGAATCTTGCTGCCCATATTGTTCCAACATGTCACTCTGAGGCCATCAAGGATCCTTCATGGCGTCGTGCTATGCTATACAAGATGAGTTCAATGTCTTGCTACGCAATGGAACATGGGAGCTTGTTCCCAAGCAGGATGCCACCAATATTGTGGGAGGCAAATGGTTGTTCAAAAAGTAAAGAAAAATCAAATGGGAGTATAGATCGATACAAAGCTTGCCTAGTTGCCTTGTCAAGTTATTATTGATATAAATATATACTTTCCTAGAATAGGATCTGCTGTGATATGAGGACATAATTGGAGAGTTGATTGCCGTAAATATATACTTTCCTAGAATAGGATCTGCTGTGGTATGGGGACATAATTGGGGAGTTGATTGCTGTAATTAAGGGACACAATACCTTGTACAAATTACTATATAAAGGGAAGAAAAGCTGAGAGGAGGGAGAGAGATTTTTTCCACAGAACTCTTGTTTTGTTATTCTTGATTTGTTATTTTTCAACTCCAAAAATTAGCTTGAAGAATGACATTTTCAAGCACCCAGCGTTTTATACATCAGACACGGAAAATTGTTTAACATGAGCTCTAATACTAATATTAAGTGTTATTAGACTTTTACAACTCTAAAAACTAACTCAAAAAATATAAGTTTTTTCTCATATTTAAAATCAAACATTCAATCTTTTTCATAACTGATGTAGCGATTCCTTGGGTCTTGCTCCTTATATGTGTTCCAGAAAATCCTTCTCGCTTTGAATTATTGTGTTCACAGCGACCTGAAACACAAGTTATAAGCAAAAACATTTGTAGAATTTATAATATATCAAACATACATCACTAATGGATGCGGAAGAGAAGTGTAAATGGACAGAATACAAGGACAAAATGGAGATCAAATTAAGAAATGCCCTATCTAAAGACAAGCACTTAAGCAGAATTAAGGAAAATGATAAAATCAAATTCAACAAAAAAACAAATGGACATTTGCAAAGGTGGATAGTTTAAGATTGACTCCAGCAAAGAAACCATTTTCAGGACATAAAAAAAAAAAAAAAAACCGAGAAAATTATACACCCAAACGACTAAGCTTTTGCAGAGTTGCAAATACTTCTGCAGATAAGAATGCTGGCTTCACGTCAAGCCAAATTCAAGAGGCATTCACAATATATAACTGAATGATACAGTTCAGAAATTCTGCCAAATTGCCAATATACTCAAGTTCCATTAACACAGATATATCCGTGCATGATGATGTCAAATGGAAGTTGAAAAGTCTCGCATCATTGCAGGAGGCATGTGACACAGATTGCAGAAATAAACAAGTCAAAAAGAATGCCAGTGGTACCTTGTTTACCAATTCAAACTCTGCCCACATTTTTCTGAAAGCTGCATCAGTACAAACCGCAGGAGAAATTTAATCCATGATATCAATGTGGATGTCGTTAAGGACAACAACTGTCCACTCAAGTACGTTTGATGTCTCGTACACAATATTGCCAAAAATCACAGAGTCTCCGTTGAGGACACCTTGATGTTGGCCTTTATCTGCCTACTAGATTCTGGAGCCAGGGTGTTGTTCTGTGGCCGCTCCACCAGTTTCTGATCACCCACTGTGGCAAGTTCCAAGCACAAATTCTGGAGGGTGTCTGTTGTCCTGTTGATCGCTGTGACGTTAAGTACAGTGTCATAGGGATAAACAGTCAAGTAAGCTTCAGTGTAAACAAGGTCACTAAATCCTGTGAGCTGAAGAATGCGGTTAAGCTTATTCCCATCATCCCCATCCTGTTTGCGAAGTTCATGCATTTGCATACCTTACTTCCTGCTATCAAGATCCACCAAAGTTCAGTAAAGTCAGAGCAGTAGAACGGTCCAGGAGAACTGGTCAGAAGTATGTGAAGAAAGAAAATCGCTAGAGAAAATACATGGGGTAATGGGAAAATCCTATGTCAATAGAACTCACATGCTTGAATATTGTTGCAGACAGTCAAGGACCACTTCTTTGCAATCCTTCAGTCAATGAACACTAAATTGCTCAGAGAACTGGAGAAAGAAAAGAGAAAATTAAACACATACAGCAGCAACGACATTGAAAACAACTTTAACTTGATTAAAGTATCATAACATGCTCTGGATTTGTTTCTAATAAAAAACTTGCACAGAGATGCTTGTCAAGCAATAATATTTCAAAACTAGACATATGCACCCAACGCTATTAAAGTTTCACAAGTATCAAAGAGAAGGGCTGTTGTGAAAGAACCTTCTTTCTCAAACAAAGTATGCCCTGAGGGCTGAGATGGTACAAACATGGCAATGGGAAGGTGATTGTCGAACGAAATTCAAAATAGATGAAAAAGTTCAGGTGGATCTCTAATTCTGATATGAAAGATACTAAAGTCCATAGTCCCAATAAGGGTTATTTGTCTAATTATGGTTTTCAACCGAATAAAATGTACCTGATTCAATATACTTCAGGTGCTATCGGGATTCAAAACCAGTTTTTGTAACAGCAGGTCAGCAGCTCATAATCTCAGAATGGCTATGGAAGCCTATGACCTACACGAAAACAATGTTAGTCTCATGGTAGCCCCAATACTATGATGCTGCCTTCAGTTTTTCTTACTGACTATTAGATCCAGTGCCATATGCATGTTAACATCACCTGCTGTGTTTGTTAACCGTGCAAGGCTATGGCTTGAGCTGACTGATTTCAGAGTTCATCATTACTTGCCCTTCTGTTCCATCTTTAACATTACCACTTGTTGTAAAGCGCAATGGGGTTCATAAAGAAAGACTCGTTGCTACACTCACAAACTTGCCAATGTAAATAAGAAATCCATGAAAATGAGTAACTTCATATACGTAGGAAGTTTATGACATCCATATCTTACACAGAAAACTAACTGCTTCGCATCTTGAACAAGTCTCAGGTGCCCATTAAGAAGAACATACATTTTCTCCCTTCTATATAATCAGAACCTCTCAAATGTTGAAGAGCTCATCATACTTTATCAGGGGTAATAAATAGGACAGATAACTTACTCTATTGTGTCAAAGTTCTCATACACCCTGGTAAGAATGTTAAAAACAAGTCAAAACTATTTTCCATAACAAAGAAAAAACCCCAAATTTTTGAATTAGTAAGTCAATAAATTTTCAGTTCATGTTTTAATCTCTGGAAGACAAAATTTTTGTAAA